GACGCGGCGAGCGGGCGCAACTCTGATTAGCTGCGCCACATGGCACAGAAACAACAACAACATAGATTGCCACTGGGCCTCATCCGAAAGAGATGTGTTTACCCAACAGAACGATTTTCGCTCAAGCTGCAAACTTTGCGATCGGTTTTGCCTCAAGAGCCAAATTATTTGGCGAATAATCTGCCGCGGCTGCTGCCTCTGCCTCTGTCTCTGCCTCTGCTGTTGCCTCTGCTGCTGCCTTCAGCTCGCAATTAAAAACTTATTTTTAAGAAAAGCAAAATAAACAAAACACAAACACACACACACACAGAGCATAAACTGCTGCCCATAGTGCGCTCGAGCATCGCCAAGACTGAGGTCCAGGGAAGGTGAGGCAAATTAAATGCATATCAAATGAAGGCGGATCGACCAAAAGTAGCCCACAGTGTGGGCCACACTCGGGGGCACTCGCCTCAAAGGCGACCGCAGCAACTACAAGCCACAACAACAACAACAACAACAACAGCAACAACCCGCTGCCGCTGCCGATTGAGTCGCAAATTTATATGCGACGGGCCAACGCGGCGTATGCGCAACGAGGCGGAGGAGCGCACCGAAATGTGAGAGGGGTGGGGGGGAGGCTGAGGGGGGGCTGGCGCGGGGATGCGCTGCTCTGGCGATGCGTTGACGCCTGAAATTGTTGAAATTTGCGTTTTAAATTGCAAAATTTATAAATGCCAAATTAATATTAAGATATACAATGCGAGTGTGTGAGAGTGTGTGCCTGTGTGTGTGTATGTGTGTGTGTGTCAGATATTTATATAGATATGTGCTTTTGTGGCGCTTGTTGGTTTGCTTTTATTTTGGTTAGATCTAGATTTTTAAGGCTAGCACTTTATATGGTAAATGGCCGGGGACACGTTAATTTTTAATAATATTGAACATATTAAACATAAACCTTGCGCTTAAAAGTGGTTCAAAGCAGGTTTAAGCCTAGTATAATACAAAAAAATAAAGCTGGTTCAAAGTTGGTTTAAGGCTAGTTTAAACTTGGTTCAAAGCTGGGCTCAAATTGATTGCAGTTGTTTTGGCTTCAAATATGTTAAAATAATTTTCAAGTTTGGTTAAAGCTGGCTAAAAGCTAGTTTATTGCAGGCTCGAAGCTTACTTTAGACTGGTTTACAATTGGTCGACAGCTCTCTTCAAACAATTTAAAAGTTCCATATCTGTTTTAAAGTAAATTTAAAATTAGTTTAAGCCAGTTTACAGCTGGCTTAAAGTTAAATTAAGACTGGCTTACATAGTGGGTTTAAAGATAGGCTTCTATATGGTTCAAAGCTGAGTTAAAGTTGGTTCAAAGCTAGTTAGAAGCGGCTTCAAAGCTACTTTACATCCTGTTTAAAGGCTGGTTCAAAGCAGACTTTGGCTTATATTTCGATAAAGGCCTTTATTAAGCAAATAAACAGCTGGCTCACAGCTAGTTTAAAGTTCGTTTAAAACTGGTTTCAAATTAGTTCAAAGCTGGCTTACAGTGGTTTTAAAGATAGCTTGAAATTAGTTTAAAGCTAGTTTACAGCTAGTTTAAAGCTGATTGATAGATAGTTTGTAACAGCTTCAAAATTGGTTGAAAGCTGATTCATAGCTGCTTCACAGCCTGTCTGAAGCTGGCTCAAACCCGATTCCTCGCTGGTTCAAACCCCTTTTAAAATCTTTCCTTCTGATCGATTGATAAATATTTATTTTAAATTATTATGTTAAATATGAGGCACAATTATGTGGCCTTTGGTTCATTCAATTTTGTGTTCCTTATAGAATTGTGTCGCTTTAATTATTTATCTATAATTTATTTATAATTATTTAAAATGCAAAATTTGTCTGTTTCTGTACAGTTTTTTTATATATTTATTTTCATTGTGTTGTGCAAATATTTCCGCTGCTCAACTGTGAGCCCAGCAACAAATTTGGCCTCCCCCCTCCACACACACACACACATTATAGGTCTATATATACGCCTATGTGTATTTTAATATATGCAAGCATATATATTTATATATATACTTGTTCGATGTGTACTTTTTATATATGGATTGCATACATTTGGCCACTTGCAAACAGAAAAGTAGTTCATTGAATATTTTCAACTTGATTTTATTTTGTGGCCGCTTAAATGATTTATACAAAATGCGAAATACAAAGCGCAAATACAAATGCAAATGCAGATACATGTGTGAATTCGCTGTCAGTCATTCAATTGCTGCAGCTACCGATACAGATACAGATACAGATACAGGTACACAGATACACAGATACGCGGATACAGATACAGATACATTTCTATAGATACACAGAGCTATGCATAAGCAATGTACAATATATTGATTGTACTTGTGCTTGTACATAAATACCTATATTTGTACATCAATCTGTGTGTGCGAGTGTGTTCGTATGTGTGTGTGTTATTGTGTTTGTGCGTGCGTGTGTGTGTGTGTGCGTTTGTATTGCCGCACATTTGCGGCTAATAATAACTTTAAAAACGAACTATTTTGTTGCCTTTAGAGATTTTTTTCATAGTTGATGTTGATTTTAATATGATTATTGCATTTCAAGTGTGTGCGAGTGTGCGAGTGTGTGTGTGTTCGTGTGTGCGTGTGTGTGTGTCCACTTGTCTATTTGTTGCTGCACATTTTTGGGCCGTGTGTGTTTTGATATTTTATTGAAAATGCACATTGCATTATATTTGATGTGCGGCTATTTTGCATTTTGCACCCTCGACCCGACCCATTCAAGCTGATCCACATCTGCCTATATATATATAAATATATATATATATACGTATGTATATTATATTAGGTGGATGTGTGCACGTTTAGGTACAGCAATAGATTTGCCATTTTTATGATGCATATTTCTGTTTGCATTGATTGCTTGGCAAATTTGAAGGCAATTGAAATTGCAAAACAGATCAAAAATTATGGCTAGATAATGCAATTGCATTTTTTGCATTCAATGCCCTGCAATGGGTATTACAATAATATCATGAATTGTGCAAACAATTAAGTTTTTTCAATTCTTTATCTTTCTTAGGCCTTTGTAGATCCAGCTTATGTTGCGACAGATGGGAACTCTATAGAGTAGAGTTGTCATTAGGTAAGTGAGCTTGTTTCTCAAGATATCTGGGCTTTATCTAAGTCAGCCTTAACAAGTTTGAATATGCTCCAAAAACATAAGCCTATTCTAGCTGCCATCTCATAAAGTTCCCAGAAAATGAAGTATCTGCTAGAAAGTTCCTTTATTGCCCATTTGTCATATTTACGCAAGGGTATTCAGTCTTCGGCTTGCCACTGTTAATTCTCTTCTTCTTTTTAAGTTATGCATTACAGTTTTGCAATCATTTGTCCATATTTAATCAGCTCAGCGATTAGCAGGGCACACATGGCGTATGATTATTATTATTTTTCTGGTTATATAAATTAAGTGTTAAATAGGCGCCAATAGGGCTATAATCTATAGACACTTACGTTAGTATTGAAAAACGTTTGCCAAGTCTATAGAAAAAGCGCGGGAAAAAAGTTGAAGATGGAAATTTGTAATCGAGAGAAAAGCCTTGCACAGCTCAATTTAAGTTGAAATTAAATATATTTATTATACTTATAATGAACTCTTTTAGAATATTTGGCGCATTTGCTATAAATTGAATTTGGCAATATCTGAAGCTTATTTTCTCTGCTTAAATGTGAAATAATTTCTCTTCATTTATTTAACTTTTCCATTACAATTATCGGTTGGCTCTTTAAAAGCTGCTGCATCAATTGCCATATAATTGTTGTTGTTGTATTTATTGTTGGCAAGCAGCCATAAACTCACACACACACACACACAGAGAGTCTCACACACACAGATAGGCAACCGCACAACCACACACAACACCACAGGGAGATCAATGCACCGTCACAGTGGGTTACAAATGATGCGAGTGTTTTTCCGCTCTGGCATCTTATTTATGTTATTACAAGTACTCACACTCACACTCACACACTCGCAGTTGGTCTCATGTTCGGCAATTGACAGCAAATTAGCCATACATATGTATCTAGATACATTTATTGGAAATGCATTTGCCTCAGCCCAGGCATATTTTCATGTGTGCAAGCTGTTTTTTTTTTTCGGGAGTTCGTTCGAGATTTCCGTGTGTGGCAAGCGGCCGCAATGTGCCACAAAATGTGTTGCATGCAAAACGTTTTCGTTCACGTTTTTTTGCTTCCTTTTTTCCTTTCGATATTTTGCACTTGTCTTTCTGGCTGGCAGTTGGTGGCGCCCACTTGAGTTGATCAAATCCGCGCCGTGTTGCAAATTGATTCGATGCGGCTGCGGGGCGGCAACTTGTTGACGTCATTGTTAGCCACGCCCCATTTGGTGGGCAATTAAACGCCTGCCGACCGTTGAATAGATATGCAAAAGCGTTGTGCCAAATTTATGCTGCGCACTAATTGTAGATACTGTATCTGGCAGATACAGCGCCCGCCCCGTCCATTTAAACTATTAAATATTCATTTTGACGGCGCCAAAAGGCGAAGAAAAACATAATTTATTAATTTGTTAATTCGTTGTTTGTCATTTTGCGGCTTAAACGTTTCGTTCTGCCACAAAACACATCAAATTTATGGCCCCCAAACGGGAGAGCGATTCGTTCAGAGAGCCAAAAGCCAAAGTTTCTCTTCTCTCTCCTCTGTCTCCTCTGTCTCCTCTGTCTCCTCTCTCTGCTCGCTTCGTTTCGCTGGGGATCTCTTTGGGGTCTCCGTCTCCGACGCTGGCAATTAACACGCCAAATTAGCGAGCAGCTCAGTCGACGTCGACTGCGACGCCGACAGCGACGGCGACGGCGACTGCGCTGCTCGATCGCTTTGCCGATTTTGTTATGATAAATGTTAATTTTTCTATGCGCAGCCACGCAAATAAAACTTGTTGAGCATTTTTATTGATACATTTTGATATATACGAAAATTTATTTTATTTATTTACAGATTTATGAGCTCGTTGCTTTGCTGCCCCAGCCAAATATTTGTATAGTTTATTTATGGCGAGAGCGAGAAATAAATAGGGGTATGTATCTGTCTCTGTATCTATATCTACATATATATATGTGCGTGTGTATGTTGTGTGTGTATAAATTTATTAGCTGACTTGAACTTTTTGTTGTTGTTGTTGTTGTTGTTGTTGGTTCTCTCCAAGAGTTGTTGTTGTTCTGTGCTGAAGATTTGTTGTGTGGCCGTGCAGCCGGCAAGGTGACTGATCTTCTGGCCAAATGTGTCAAGTGGCCGAGAATTGAGTTGAGTTAATAAACAGCAAGGCAGCCCGTGATTTAGGGCTGGCAAATTGGTCCAGCAACGAGCTGAGCTTCTATAATGTGGGCCAAGTGGTAATTGAGTGGCAGAACGTGTGAATTTCAAGCTCAGCTTTAAGGGCTTTGAACGAAATGTGTTACGTAAAGGCTGCACAACTTTTAAAATATATATACTCTATTTTAAAAAAAAGGACATATTAATATGCATGAATTAACTTTAAGCACAGACAGCGGGGAGACTCTCAGCAGCAGGACTTGTCAGTGTCTGCATTTATCGATACGTATACGTAATCTGACAATCACTTTGCCGTGCCCCCTGCCTGCCTTCTGCCCGCCCCGCTGGCTGTCACACACGCGTGGCAACTTTGTTTGGCATGCCCTCGGCTCGTCGTGGCGGCAAAGTCTTTTGCCTGCTGCCGCTTCAATTGCTTCAGCTTCTTGGACAATTTTATTACGCTTTGCATTGCATTTTGTTGACAGTTTTGTCAACAAGCGTTGAAAATTGGCTAAATATAAATATATTTGTGCATGTCTGTTGCCCGTCTCCCAATCTCCCAGTCTATCAGTCTCCCATCTCCCATCTCGCAGTCTCGCAGTCGCTGGCTGTCGGTTTGTTTGTCGCAATATTTATTACAACGACAACTCGTTCGCGTTGTTTATTTATAAATGCGTTTATAAATAGGTAGAAGATGCAGAAAAAAAAAAAACGCCAACAGATTTTGGCTGCTCAACGCTTAGCTGAGACGGCGGCCCATCATCATCCTCATCAGGAGCATCAACAGCATGAACGGCCAGCCGAGTCGACGAAATCTCAACCGGGGCGCGTATCCACCTATCTTTCTCTCACCCCACTCTCCCTCTCTCCCTCTCTCTCACTCTGTGCACACTCAAGCGAATTCGCAGCAAGCATGACTTGTAAATAACTGCAAGTTAAGTATCTGGCAAAGTGCAAAGTAGTTGCCAAGCAGCAGCCAAGCAACCGACTATTCCCCTTCCCTGCTCACACCACACCACCCCACCCCACCCCACCCAACTGGCAGCCCGCATTGCCCATATTGCCATGTGCTCCTAATGAACTGGGCACGCACTTGGCGCGCTCAGCCATGGCATGATATATGGCATCCACTTGCATGGGGATGCTCCGTTGTCTGCCTGCCAGCCTGTCTGGCTGGCTAGCTGGCTGGGATGCTTCCTCCATAAGACGCAGCAAATTGCCACAGCCGGTGCACATTCTAGGTGCTATATGGGAGTTTATCGCTTTTCCAAGAAGTCAACGCCGTATTCAATGCTTCCGCATCAATTGAAGCTGCCAAGCAGCAGGAAAATTCGCAAACTTAGACGAAATTGAAACTATTTTCGGTTAGCTGCAATTCCAAAACTGATGAAAGCCACAGCATATGCTGAGAGTTAAGCCAAACGCTGGGCTGAATTTGAATAAGCACAAGAGTGCTCGACGTAGAGATGCCCTGTGTTCTGTCTTTAACGGCATGCCAGAGGAACGTTCTTTGTGCTTTGATAAGAAAGTCCATATATATATATACATATATATTTTACTAAACGAAGGATAAAAGCCGGCTGATAAATGTGAATAACTATTTCAAATCTCAAAATCTTATAAGTATATACTCAATGCGTTAGGAGATTCTCCCGGCTGTCTATTATCTACCCTCTCCAACAGGCTTCATCCGTAGGCTTAAGAATTTAAGAACCTTATCTAGAATTTATTGATGAACTATTTATATTATTTATGTTTATCCATATTATATCTATCCAAGCAGCTAATATCTAGAATTTATTGATTAGCTCAAAGCTCTTAAGCTCAAATTTGCATATGCCATAAAAGACGCCCAATTTATTTCACATAAAAATCCAAAGCGGACTTAAATCTTATAAACTTTGCTGTTGTGTGCTTCTTGGCAACTTTATCCGCAAGTTTGTTAATCAAAAGTATCTGCCTCTGGGCGGCTCGGCCATTACATCATAGAGATCAGAGCTTAGTTCACTCATTAAATGCTTAAAAATAGAAGTTGTTAATCCGCTGAGAACCCTGTCACCAGGCACATGTATATATATATATATATATGTGGCTGCCAAATCAGTTAAATGCGCCGATTCGCCGCCGACTCAACGTCGGATCAACGACCAGCCAAACAGGGAGAAAAAAACGGTGGATTGTACTTTTCATTTTTTTACATGCGAATATATATACATATATATATATATATATATATGGTATATATTTATACTGGAGCTGCTTGTCTTCTATGTGATGGGGCATAAAAAACGAAAGACAACTTTCGGCTGAAGCACCAACAACAACAACAACAACAAGAACAACAACAAGGCAACGGCACACAAACAGCAAAAACGTCGCAAAAAATATATAAAGGTGAGCAACAACAATTTAAATATTTTGAGAGCGATGACCCAGAAGCAGAAACAACCAACAACCGACAACAACCGACAACTCAAACACCTTCTGTGCTGGCCAAGCAAAAAACAAACCAAAAAAAAAAAAGAATACAATATGAAAAAAGTTTAAGAATTACACAAAAAAATATTAAAAAATAAAAGCTAAATGAAGAATTTGCGCGTTTGTTACGCGCGCGCAACAACAAAGCCAAATTTCATTTGTAAGAATGAAGAAACGAGCAACAACAACAACAACAACAACAACAGCAACAACAACATTTCCATAAGCCCAGTTAGCACGGTTTCAGCTGAGCTTCATTCAAGACTTTTACGCTGATTCTGCCCTATTGACGCATTGACACATGGAGCCATTGTCAGATTGACAGCATTACGAAATGAAACAACAGCAGCAACAACAAGAAGAGGAAGAAGAAAACAATTAAGCATTTGTAAACAGTTTTGATGCTGCTCCAAATTGCATGTTGCCAGCAACATGTTTCCAATTAAGCGCAACATGTTGCGCTGGCGCCGCCTTGAGCCTCTCCGTGTGCCGCCGCCGTCGTCGAGTGGGTGTCATAAATCTTTTGGGGCGGCTTTTGTTGTTGCTGGCAACGGCGAACACTAATTGGTATTAGCCCGGCCCGCCGACAAGTTCTAAAGCCAAACTCGATTCAAGCCAAAAGGGGGCAACGGCCAATGGATCAAACGTAGCTCTTGTTGCCTTTTTTGGCCTTTGACTTTGGCCGTGCGGATGCCGCCAGCAGCAGCAGCCACAGCCACAGCCACAGCAGCAGCAGCCACAGGTGGGCGTGTCGAATTCGCTGTTCGGCTGTCCGGAGACGCGTTGTGTTTTTTTTGTGCCATAGTCCGGCAATAGATCAGCTTAAATGCCGAACTGACAGCAGAGATTCGAGTGAGCGCCTGCTTTAAAGTTCGCGCTTAAAAATAGATGTGTGCGGTTACCGTTTCAGGTGCTTAAATAGATGAATTGCCTGGCAGCCAGAGAAACGCGGCGAAAACCAGTTGATATTATGACAGACGAGAAATCTAAGTGAAAAGGTTCAAGGTTCACGTTTAGCTAAGCGTTTAACAAAAGTTTTTAGAAGCCTCGGCTCGCTTCCTGATTCCAATATGAACCTGGCGTGGGACTCTAACCTTGATTAGTTAACGTTGCACTTTGATGATGATGTACATCATTCGTTGGGGTTGAACCACTCGACACAGTTTAAAACGAAATTTTTATTAAAATATATCATCAGACATTTAGGCAATATACAATAATACGATTAAGCTTCAACACGTGTGAGCAAGAGTATTTGAACTTCGGCTTGCGTGCAGTTATCTAATCTCTCTCCTGTTTTCATTTCGTTTAACTTGTTTTGATGCGTTTTTGAAACGTCAACAATGCTTGGCATATGGTCATAATGTTACCTCAAATCCGCTGCTGGGCATATAAAAGTATTGCAAATTTAAACCGCACGTATAGCTATATAGTATATATATATAGTATATTTATATATATATTTTTTAGTCGTTTTGCAGCTGGCAACGAACCCGTCAACGACGTGCAAAGTGCAATTTATTGCCGTAGCGAAAACGAAGCGAAACAAAATTGTAACTCAAATACAAATACAAATACAAATATAGAGGCAGGGGGAAGGGTGGAGAGTGGAGGGGCGCACACGGCGATGGGGAGGCGCATGCAAATGCCCAGCTATGGCAACAGCAAAAGATACAGATACAGCTACAGCTACAGCTACAGATACAGATACATACGTCAATTGCGTCGCCACAACGACGACGACGACGACGACGACGACGACGACGACGCTAAAAATGAAAAATTGCTTTTCAAAATTAAATCAACATTTAATTTTCTCGTAATTTGCTACCGCAACCGCGGCCGGTGGCACCCGTGCAGCCGTGCCGCCGTGCCACCGTGCTGCCGTGCCGCCGCGGCAAGCAGCGCACGCATTTTTCTACAAATTAATTTTAGCACAAAGATCGCCAGATACACACCGAAATGTATCTAGATACAGCAGCCGATACAGATACAGATACATGGCTATGGATACAGCGGTTGATATATAGACATGTCGTATTGGTTAGCCATTAAATGACGCCAGCAACAACAACAGCTACAACAACAACAACAACAACAACGAAAGCAGAAATCGTTGGCAGGCAAGTGCCAAATAAAACTTATTACTAATACGCCGTGTGTGTCGAGGCAGAAATTCGACTGAATGCGGCGCACAGCGCATGAATCTATTATGAATTAGACTTTGAATGTCAGAACAGAGTGAAGCACACACACACACCCACACACCAGCACACACACACATGT